TGCCTTTTTTTTTTTTTTTTTAACAACCAGCAGCAGAATCAGTAGCAGCTGCTGGTTCTGCTGTTGCTGCACAGACAAAGTTCGGAGAAAGCACAGAGAAAGTTCAGAGAAAGTACAGAGAAAGTACAGAGAAAGTACAGAGAAAGCACAGAGAAAGTACAGAGAAAGCACAGGGAAAGAGTAGACAAAGCATAGAGACAAATCATAGACTAAGCATTTCCACTTCCTCCAAGTTCATCTTGCTCAACCAAATTGAAGGGGAGACAGACACCCAACCAGCAGCCACAGAGCATACACAAAGCAGAGACAAAGCATAGACAAAGCACAAACAAAGCAAAGGCAGAGCAAAGACAAAGCATAGAGACAAAGCCCCTCCACATCCTGGTCATTATTGCCCAATTAAAACGCTGACATTTCTTGTTTGATCAATTCAATCAATGATTATTAGAATGTGGAGACGGTTTCCCCTTCGGCTCACTAGAGGCCAAACACGCCAGAATCCCTCCCCTCCCCTCCCCTCCCCCCCCAAAAAAAACAGTAAAATTTTGCCGCCTTTCAAACACTCATCAGAGTAAGGAAGGAGTGTTTCCGTCCCTCCCTCCCTCCCTCCCTCCCTCCTCCCCACACCCAGCTAATTCTATACCCCTTCTGCACATGCATTCTGGATTTTGACGAGTGCGTCTTTATGCCAACTTTTTCACTTTGTTGAGAGCGCTTTCTGTCACCAAAGAGTCAAAGACTATATTACGTTTTGTTTTACGGTACCGCAGGTGTTGTTCCTATGCACACGCACACACATATACCGAGGTTAACATTCTCACGAGGTGGTTCTTTCCACCACCTCCCTTACCATGAGAGACAGAAAGATGCAGACTACGAGAACCTATCGCGGCTGCTGCCTCTCCTCCTGCATCACCTCTTACTCCTCCCCTCCCTCCACTTCCTGCTCCACTACAAATGTCTTCCTACGTCCGTTTTCATTCCCCTGTTGTACGTTCTTCCACTTCTTATCGAGAGAGAGGGAGAAAACAGGATGTCAGAAACTGTCACGTCAATGCAAAGTGATGTTTTCCTGATCAACGGCCGATAGAGTAATTAGGTGGGGTAAGGGGCATACTCACACTAGGCCCTCAAAATCGCAAAATCGCAGAATGAACGCCCAGATCGAGGTGCTTGTAAGCAGAGGGCTCTATCTGGCCGCTCATTTTGCTATTTTGAGATTCCGAGGGCCCAGTGTTAGTATGCCCTAAGATGAGAAGTCAGGGCAGGAGGGGCAAGAGGAGAATGAGAGAGGAGGATGAGAGAGGAGGATGAGAGAGGAGGATGAGAGAGGAGGATGAGAGAGGAGGAGGGGCAAGGACAGGAGAAGATGTTGGAGCAGGAGGGGGAGGAGGAAGATAAGTTGGTGCAGGATGACCCAAAAAAATTATATGAGAGAGAGAGAGAGAGCCTAGTAGTCTCTCTCTCACGAGCGCGCATGTGCGCTTTGCCCTCCGCCACCCGTTCATTGTTCTTCCCAGATCCTCCTCGCGGTCCCCTTTGTTATGTGCTCGGATTGATGATGGTGAGGAGGAGGAGACGGAGGGGGAGGAGGAAGGATGACAATGATGACAAAGAGAGGGCTGATGATGATGATGGTTGGAGGGATGAATATGAGGAGAAGGCCGAGTAACACTGACGATAGATGATGATAAAGGAGGAGGAGAAGAAGATCATCGAAGAGCAAAACGTGGAGAGGGGTGGACGTTGAATGGCTGAACAAAGGGGGGATTACGATGAGGAAACGGTCAAGTAACGCTGACAATAGACGATGATGATGATGATGATGATGAGGATGATGATGAGGAGGAGGAGGATGATGAGGATGATGAGGATGACGATGATGATGATGATGATGATGAGGAGGAGGAGGAGGAGGAGGAGGAGGATGGATAAAGAAGAGGAGGATGAAAACGAGTGGAGGAAAAGGATTGGAGGTGGAGGAGGAGGATGAGGAGGATGGTGACGATGATGATGCGGAGGAGGAGGAGGAGGAGGAGGATTGATGATGATGATGACGATGATGATGATGAGGAGGAGGAGGAGGAGGATGGATAAGGAAGAGGAGGATGAAAACGAGTGGAGGAAAAGGATTGGAGGTGGCCGTGTTGCCAAGCAAAGGAGGAGTGATGAAGGTGATCTTGATGCTGAGAAGCAGGAGTCGAAGAGGAGGAGGAAGAAGGTCAAGCAATTGATTGATTGGGTTTCTTTCCCTCCTGATCTCTGTGTTCCTTTCCGTTCGGATTCGTCATCTTCCGCCCACGTCCCCCAACTCTGCTGACGTGGCACTGATTGAAAAAAAAAAAACACGATCAGACCATATCTTGATTTATGCGTGTCATCCTTGCACAAGGGCCATGATAATGTACTTTCAGGCGCACGTGCACCCCCCCCCTCCCCCAAACACACACAGAAAGAGGGGCGAGAGAGACACAGAGAGAGAGAGAGTCACTAAAGAACAAACATTGAGAGATTCCAGCGAGAGTGCAGTCCACAACGTAGACGAGAGAGTAAGAACAGAGAATGCCCCAGTAATGACCACCACCCTTCTGCTACGTTCGTCTATTCGATGGCTTGTCTAAATGAGTGGGAGAGAAAGCGTGTGTGTGTGTGTCTGTGTGTGTGTGTGTGTGTGTGTGTGTGTGTGTGTGTGTGTGTGTGTGTGTGTGTGTGTGTGTGTGCGCGCGCGCGTTTTTGCGTGCGCGTGTGTGTATGTGTACACGCGTGTGTTGTCATATTCGCTATGCACAACTCCACAACAAAAATCATGACTGTGCCAGACTGTTCCGTCAGACTTTCACCGACTCATCATCAAGAGATCGAGCCCCGACGGTGAGCAACAGCTTGCCGCCCCTCCTCCCGCAAGAAAAACGTTCAGAGGAGTCAATAGTTCGACAGGGAGATTGAGATGACACACGGGGGTGGGGGCAGCCGCCGCTCGCAAGGGGAGGTTCTGAACAGGGGGAGTTGTAAGGAAGAAGATAAAAAATGAATTGATATCTTTTTTGTTTTCCTTTGTTTTCGCTTTTGCGCTCTGATATTTATGTGACGATATATAGAGAGATATAAGCTGTTTGATGATGACGAGTGTTAGAGCAGACGCGCGCGTGCGCACGGGGGGAGAGAGAGAGAGAGAGAGAGAGAGAGAGAGAGAGAGAGAGAGAGAATTGAAGAAGACTCACGAAGTGGGCCACTGCTTTGTGAACGACTTTAAAAGCGTGATATGTTTAGTGGTGGAGGATGGCGCGAATGATGCGGAGCTAAACACACGTTGATGCATGTCGTTATCTCTGTGTACTCCAGAGGTTTTCTTACCAGCGGGGTGGCCAATGTGCGAACGCCACGTGTTGTGCTTTGCCCAGAGTGACAGTGACAGTGACAGCGACCATAGTGACTACGGTAGTCTTTGTCACACAAAGACACCGATTTCCGTCTATATCTTGGCGTGAGAAAGACTACGTGTAGTGACCATGGTCCGCGAGGACGAGGAGTAAAAGCACCGTAGACTTGGAGGAGGAGGAGGAGGAGAGGGTGATGGCTATGGTGATGACGAATATAGATGGCGATCGAAATAGTGACATCAGCATGAGGGAGAAAGACAAGTGCGGAGGTGGAGTGAAAAGGAGGAGGAGGAGGAGGAGGAGGAGGAGGAGGAGGAGGAGGAGGAGAACTGGAAGATGGTGGTTGAGGTGGTGCTTCCCATTCTGATAGTTAGGATGAGGGCAGTTGAAGGAAGAAGAATAAGAGGAGGATGAAAGACAGGCAGGACTCCGAAGAGCAAGAAGAGTGGAGGAGGATGCCCCCTCGTCAAACGAAACGGGCTGCCTATGAGTTGGTTGTGCATGGCGGGAACCTGGGCCTAAAAGAGAGGCCGAAAACGTAGATGCGCCCCACTCCCTCCTCATCGGGGGGTTTAAGAGGGAAGGTTGCTCTGCAAGGATCACGTTCGGGAGGGTTTAACAGGGAAGGTTGCTCTGCAAGGATCACGTTCGGGTGGGAGGCGGAAAGCATACCGGAGGAAGGGGGAGAGGGCAAAGTGGAGGAGAAAAGGGCGTGTGTGTGGGGTGTGTGAGAGAGGGAGGATCAGCGCTCGCGGGGTGTGCGAGAGAGGGAGGATCCGATATGGGTGCGCATGCTCAGAGAGAGAGAGAGAGAGAGAGAGAGAGAGAGAGAGAGAGAGAGAGAGAGAGAGAGAGAGAGAGAGAGAGAGAGAGAGAGAGAGAGA